GGGGGGGGGGGGGGGGGGCGGGGGGGGGGGGGGGGGGTTTAGGGGCGCAAAAAAAAAGGGCCCCAGGCCCCCCCCCCCCCCCCCGTAATGCCCCTGCTCTGCTCTGCTCCATCCCAGAGTCTTCTCAGGAATCAGACATCGATTTGGAATTGGGATCGGACTCATCTGCTGCATTCTACGCAGGAATGTAAACCAGCCCTCACTGGGGTAAAGGGGATTGCTGAAGGCTCCCATCTAGGCTTAGATCCATAAGAACGCTAAAGGTAGAAATCTGAAGAATCTGGTCTTGTGGGGACGAAGGGGCTTGGTGGTGAGGATGGCACCATCTCCTGCCTCTACCTGCGCCATGTCCTCATGCTTGCTCCACTTGACCGACAGCAGGAGCTTGGGCAGCGATTGGGGGAAGTTCTCCCTGCAGTCGTATCGTAGTGTCCAGATAAGATCCTTCTCGTTCTCATAAAGCTGCGAGAGCGGGTCCCTCTCCATGATCTCCTTCAGCTCACTGTGGAACTTCTTGCCTCCCCGGCCCTAGAGGATGAAGCAAGTCAATATTGGCCACCAGGTGGTGCCATCGTGCCGAAGCGCAGGACACAGCGGCATGGACAAGACCGCACACGTCCAAGCGGCTGGTTATGTAAGCCTCTGATTTTCCGCACGCTAGATGGCAGGGAGGTGCAGGAACATTCCAGTTTCCAAGCAGAGAAAAATAGCCACAGAAAAACAATGTTGTTTATGCGTTCTTATGGCATGTCATCACTAATAACTTAGGAAAAAAAAAAAAACTGTTGTGGAGCCAAAAAGCAGAGGTGTGCCTCTTACCACCATGGGCATGCAGTCACTGCCACGGGCGATCTCAGCTGCCTTTTCCAGGATCTGCGAGGAGCACGAGGATAAGTAATCAAAGTGAAACTCCGCCTAGCCACAGCAATGGCGTGACGCCAGCAAGGACAGGACATGTGATTACGCAGTCATCATGTGACTACAGAGACTAGAGTTTACACATCACTGCAAACACTCACTGACGGGGAAAGGTTATTATAGGGTTATATTATCTGACGTTAACAAGTTACAGTGGTGCTTCCCAATTCGGCCCTCGGGTCCCACAGTTGGTCCTTGCTTTTGCTCCCTCTAAGCTCCCTGCCAGACCGCATTTTTGCTCCCAGTAGGGAGTTGGGAGAGAACAAAAATATGAACAGTCTGTGAGACCGGACTGGGAGACTGACTCAGAGCAATGTTTATCAACCCAGTCGTCAGGGACCCCAAGTCCATCTGAATTTCTGCTCCCAGCCCACTTGTACCGGGCATTCTTGATTGTTTGGTTCAGGTGTGCTGGGAGCTGGGGGCACCCTTCCCCAGCAGCTCCTGCACCACCACGGTCAGACCGTTGCGGGCAGCCACATGCAGAGGGGGGGGGGGGGGGGCACAAGGACTGGGCTGAGAAACACTGGCTCAGTGAAATAAGGCTTTGAATCCAACACAAACAAATGATTGTGGCAGCTATAGTTGTAAGTAACCGTAGTATCTAAATATAAATGGAGCGAGTCCTTTAGCGTGGGCTGACCTTATCGAAGGCGGGGAAGACGATGGGGTAGGCGTGGTACTCTGGGAACTGTACGTGCAAAGCAGTGGCGTTCTCTGTGTATGGGTTGGTCTGGATCGTGCCTATTGGGTTCAGCATCTCTTCAAGTTCATCTGTAGGATGACAGCACAGCCTCAGGATTTGGGAGGGGGGCACAAAGTAACCTTAAATAAGGTGGCCCCCATCGTTGGCCATTAGACTGTACAACGAGTCACACGGTGGCCGGGGGGGGCCACCAGCTCTCCGAATGGACCAGGTACATTCACAGAACACTGTCTCGTTCACGGTACAATGCTATTTATTTACTATGGGATTCCATGCTATACGTTCCCTACTGTTTATTTGCCTCGTCTGTCGGTCGAATGTGAATGTTCAGTGGCTCTGCAGACGTTCTCACCAGGGAAGGAGGACCAGCAGTGGAGGACGACTTCACCGGTTTTCAGGTGTCCTCTGTAGTCAAACACCATGGTGTTGACCCAGGCTATCGGGTAGTGCTGAGGGTTCAGAGAACAGGGTCAGTGATGCATATCGGTCCAGGGCGGGGGGGCAGGATAAAAGGAAGCATGACTGAGCCATGGGATGGCTGAACATCTCGAGGGAAATATCTGAGGATCTCTCAGGCAAGGTACGTAGGTACAGAAGTAGTGTATGTTACAGCTAACAAACGCATGTGCACCTTCATGCATTAGTAATGACAAGTAGACGTCGGAACATTCCGGAGGCAATGCTGTCATAGCATTAGAGGGGAAGAACGCACCACTTTCCCGGCCTTGCGGATGGTCTGGTACTTGTTGATGTGGGGGCTCTTGGTGGACTTCTGCTTCTTGACCTTGTCCATGACGGCGTAGATGGCAAAGCAGAGGCGGGCCATGCGCGGGAGGTCGCCGACATTGATGTCAAAGTCCAGCGACTGGCCCCAGGTGTGCTCGCTGCGGCCGCTGGTCTCCGAGCTCACGGCGGGCTTGCATAGCAGCTCTGTGCCATGGAAGAGCCCCGCCCGCACCTGGACCTTTGTGGGGGGGGGTGGTCAGTCGTACGTTTAGAATCACCGCAGTACCAAAAAAATGGAGCTTCTGGTGCATGTGAAGACGGGGGGGGGGGGGTTACCTTGGTCGTCTCCTCGGCATTAACCTTGGCTCCTTTGACCAAAGTGATCCTAAATGGGGTGTGGATGTCCCAGACACACGTGTGCATCTGCATGTGGGGAGAGGGGGACAGACGTCCATGACAGGGGGAGACATGCGGTTTGGCCCTCAGGGCGATAAAAGGTCACCCAAACATAAATGATTGATAAAAATCAAATCACACGATGACTTTTCCTTGCTGTCGAGTCAGGCAGCTAAAACTGCAGCATGAGTCAGTATCACGGGCAACGGCACACCCTTCCCTGTCATCAACGAGGCCATGTGTGGGGGGGGTTGCAACACTGCCCAGGGGGTGGGATTTGGGGGGTATATTACGATACGACTGCATAGTCGGAATTCCACTGTGTTACACAGTTAAACGCTGTGTTAGACAGTCAGAGAGACGCAAACAGGGAGGCTTCACAGGGTCCCTCTCAGGCTGGAAAGGCAGCGTGTGGGTTGAACGAGGGAGGGAGCAGAGCCTCTGGCTCACCAGGGGCTGGTTCTGGGCCGGTTCTGGCCCCCATCTCCATCTCTCTGGGGGAGCACAAATGGCCGCGGTGAGCCACAGTTAACGAGCCCAGTGTTATTTACAAATCATGGGCATGCTGGGAAAAGAGATGGCCATCGTGTCCTCGCCACCAATTAAAATCCCTGTGACCTTCACTTATTAAAGACAGGAGGCAGAGGAAGACTCAGGGACTGACCAGTCCCTCCGGGGGGGCGACGGAGAGCGCGAACGAGGGAGATCAAAGCGGTCATGAGATGATTGCTACGGGGTACAGATTTGACCAATCAGAGTAGCGCTGGGACACGGTGAGCAGAGGGAACACTGTGCGCCTTTGTCTCTGGGGGGGGGATGCCTGAGGCCAGGCACAAACAGAGATATGGCAGGAGGAGAAGAGTGGGGGGGTGTGAGGGGGAGCAGCAGTACCAGAAGCCGGTAGACCTGCTTGTGTATCGCTCAATACTCAAAATCCACCAGGAGGGAAGGGGTGGGGGCAAACCAATCAAAGCCTAGAATAAAGGCTGCCCCGCCGTTAACCCAACTGACAGCAGGAGCAGAACTCGGGGGGAATTAGGCTCGGAAGGGACTGCAGCACTCACGGAGGGGCCCCGCCGCTTGGGGGGCAGGGGCACCGGCGGGTTGGATGTCTTGCGGTTGACCACGGCACCGATAGCGGTGATCTCCTTCTCAAACATGGATTGGATGGCGCTGCAGTGTACCACGGTCAGGTGGGGGCTCTCCGTGGCCATGACACAGGTCCGAATATACTGGGGAGGAAGACCAAAATGGGGGTGGGGAGGTCACAGGGCATGCCACTGACCAGGCGGATTGAGCAACAGCTTCATAATGTATCCACAGGAAATGGGGAGAGACATGTGACATGAAAGCGGCCAATCAGCAAGCGGCATTATGGACTCCATCTTTACATAAACCCCCCCCGCCCCCCCAACATCGAGAGCCCACTGGCTGCATCCTTGGCGAGCCTGAGAGCTCCCGGGACTGCATTCCAGCGCCATGTTCATCCTGCCCTCCTTTAATAGCACATGGCTACATCTCGTACAGAAATAATCCCTGCTCACGGAACTCGGAAAGAAACGAGAAAAACAAGTCGGCAGGCAGAGGAGCAGAGACACATGACTGCGATCATGCACTGGGCTTCGGCAGGGTGAGCACCGTGAATGTCAGGAACGGGGGGGGGGGGGGCAAACTCCAAATATAATCATTTCACTTCCACATTTCTCAACGGTGTCCAAGATATGAGAATCACACAGGAAGTACATTCAGAAAAACAAGACAGACATCACATGTCTGATGATCACGCCATATAGCGCAAGCAGCAGCCTCTGCCACAGAATTGCCACGGAGTTCCCTGGGGTGTCTGGAGTGGGGGGGGAGAGTTGCACGTCAGTCCAGGGGGGCTCACCTTGAAATGGATGAGGGAATGTTCTCCGGTGAGGAACTCCAGCTTCCCGCTGATGCGGAGCACATAGTCATCCCAGCGCACCTCCTCCTGCACCTCCTCCGAACTGCTGTGGGTGGTCAGCCATTTCCTGAGGGCCTGCTCCCTCAGCTCACGGGGGGTGATGGCCGGGGAGACCTTCAGGCTGGCTGTGTCCTGTTGGGGGGGGGGGTTCACAAAGTGATGGAGATCAGGCTGCCCGCTTTCTGGACCAGCATATGATAGACACACCATGCGGGTCCATCCACGGTGTGTTTTAACGAGTTGTTTCTTCCCATAAATCCCCCTGTGATGCACTCCCTGACCCCACCCCCCTTTGTGGGGCTTCAGCAGACCAGCCTACGAGCTCTGAAGTGCCAACCCCCAGCCAGGGCCCATGATGCTGCAGACCCTCCAAGACTGACCGCCGGCCCTCTTAGCCTCTTAGCCTCCAGGGGCTCTAACCTGGGGGTGTGCCTCGCAGATGAGTCCTCCAGATTCTGAGCACCCAGAGCTTCAAGCAGAAAACCTGGTCACCCACTGGAGACTTGGCACAGTTACTACGGTACCACAGGGGTCACATCCAAAGCACAGACATGAGCTCCCCCAGGTACAGAGCAGGCATTAGGGGCAAAGATGGCTGCTTTATGGTGGTCAGCAGTCACCAGTTTGGGGTGTCTGGTCCCACACCCCCCCAGTGTAGTGACTGTAGGAGCCTAATGTAAATCTGCAGTTTGCTGTGGTTTGGGTGTTGCCATTTTTTAAAAAGATTTTAAAAATCAAAGTGAGAAGCCATCCGGTGGTGGGAGGCCCGCTCTCTGCAGCCTGAGCGCAGGTACAGAACGCCACCCCCCCCCCCCCATTTCAGAGCTTCACGTGTCAGGCCTGAGAAATCCGGTTAGACTGGATTCAGATCGGATCAAAAGAACATGGTCTCCAGCAAAGACACGTCACAGAGGATAACAAGAAAAGGCAAACAACGAAAAAAACAACAAAGGCGAGGTCGACAGCACCTCACGCTGGCTGCCTTGGGTAGTGCCTTGGGGGATCAGATGCATTTGGAATGGAAGTTATGATATCACTGCCACAGACCTGGCTGTGGAAATTATCGTGGGTGTTCTTTTTCATTATATATATTTTAAATCTTCCAGTTGGCGTCAACCACAGCCAACTGGATGATTTAAAATGATGCTGATCCACTAAAGGACCATCAGTGGACGTGTGTGTGGGGGGTCCACACTCTCCCAAAAAACCAGAACAGATCACTGAAGATGGTAGTAAAGACAGA